TAAAACTACGAAGTAAAATGATCAGAGATATATAAATAGTCATTTTCTCGTGATAGCAACAGGTATCTTTAAAGAAGAAGCTGGCATCTGGTAATTGACTTGCAAAATAGAGAAAATGATGTTTTTGAGGTGATATATTTAGTTAAGTTGCCCTATTTTCTTCATACAAAGATACTCTAGTGACATATCTAGTAATGTACGTAAAGAAGAGTGAAAAATATTGTAGCAAATTACAGCAGTAGAAATGTTAAATACTATTTATAGATAAAAAAATAGAGTTTACTTGCTAGAATTATGAAATAATCCTAATAAATAGGTAATTTTATTTTGAAAAGCAATCTCTTTGATAAAATCAGAAAATGTGAAATATTTAAAAGTAAAAATTTAATGAAAGTTGTACAACCTTGTTATTGCAACTTGGTCATATTGTTATGAAGGCTTAGAGGAACGCACCTAGTCCGGAGTCATTACATGCAGGATAATTTCCAAAGTCGTACGTAGCAGTGGCGTATTCCAAGACGTCTCGCCGGCAGCGTAGTCGGCATCGTCAGTGAGTCTTGCCTTTCTTAGCACCATACTACAACTGGTCAAAGAGACAAATGAAGCCGATCCTTTGACCAATGTGTGCTAAACAGTAGTGGTATCTCTCCTTCTTTCCTAGGCTTTTCACCACTCCTATAACCTCGTATCACACCTTCACTATCACAATTTTTCCGTACTTATTTAAATGAAGTGTGGTGCGCCCTTTTGAGTGGCTTACATGTGAACCCTCCACACTCCAACCTATAGATTTCATCCATATTCACCCTTGTGCTGGGAATTTTGATCACAATCTGTCATATCCTAACGCCGTCCTTCTTCCCTAGATCTTATTAGAGTCTCCCTCTTGCCCCGTAGGATTCGTCTGATATCTTCTTGTTTTAATTATTTTATTCGACCCATCTGTGCTTCACGAGGCATTATTTCCCACACTCAGCGTCTGTTATACTAACTTGATTCTAAAGTGCCTAAATAAGCCTTCTGGTCAAGCCTTTGCTTCATGGACCACGTCTATGGTAAAACAGGCATACTCTCAGCCGCTCCAGTCTCCGACGCGTCTATCTTGTTACTATCCGTAATACCAAGTCCATGACTTGCTATGCCCTAGTCGCTTATGTACCAACCCACAAATGTTGTGGTACTGCCTGCTTTGATTACGTTCACTGTCGAGCAACAACGTTTGTGGGTTGCACACAAGAGACTAGTTCAAAGGAAGTCATGGACTTGGTATTATAGATAGAAACAGGATAGATGCGGTGGAGGCTACTGTTAGTTGACTAAAAATAGATAGGATTTATGGATTACGTCTATGATCAAACACGTATATTGCTAGACAAATAGCTCTTGTTTCCACCGCGTCCATCATGTTTTTATCCATCACACCAAGTCTATGACATCCTATGTTCTAGTCTCTTGTGTGCCAACCCACAAATGTCGTGGTTCTACTTGTCTGGATTAGGCTCACTGAAAACTTCTCCTCTTGGCTTCTGATTGTTTGTTTCTGGGCCTTTGCGATTTATTTTCCTAAAATTAAGGATATTTTCTTGATCCAGTCGTCTTCTTTTTGCGGATCTTGTTGTTGCCTGGTCTTCTCCTCGTTCTTTTAGGTAAAATGCCTGGTTTTAGCTGATCCTGCCTTTTTTAAGTCTTCTGTTCATTATATTTCTCTTGGTCACTATATTGACGATCTCTCGGATATTGCGCTCTATTGTATTTTCACCCTATGCTGTTAGCCTTTAGGTCGATTTGCAGTTTGTTTCGTTCCCCGTTCGTGTCATATCTTTCGCTATCTCACATCTTTCCATATTCATATTCCTGCAGATGCTTTTTTATTCGTAGACCGATTTTTCTTCCTGTTTTACTGATATACTTTTGCTCACAGTTGCCGCACTTGATGCGATCAACTTCCGAGTAATCCACTTTGTCAGTCTTCCAGTGTTGCGTCGGCAGACTGGTGACAAGTGTTATCTTTTCCGTTGTTATATTCCATTTTCTTAGTAACGGTCGCAACTTTTGACTCAGTTCTGATGAGGACAACCTAATCCACTTCTGGTCGTGAGAGTGAAAATCCCATCGGTAGTCCGAATATTTGCTCGTAGATACTGCCATTAAATGTTAAATATCTGGTCTTTACTGTCAAGTTGATCTGTCGTGTTAGCGATGCTTTCCGTATCCGTTCTGCCTCCAGGATGTCCTCTTCTGGCTCCAATATCTCCAGTAAGGCGCCTACCTCCTTCTCACCTGAGCTGTTTGTGTGTGTGGATTGTACATCGAAAATCACCAACAGTTCCGTCTCCACCAGCTTAATGTTCTGGAAACTTTGGGAAAATGAATATGAATTTTCAATAGTATTCGAGATTATGTTATTTACTTTCTTGAGCTTCAAACAAATGAATTTTGCTAGTTTGTGTATTTCTCCATGCTTGTTGTTGACTCTTAATCTTAGCGCATTTCCTTCCTTGTGTATCTTCGTTCGTTCGTAGATTGTCGGTGGTTTTGTGTCATTTTCGATCAAAGTTTTCATCATCTTTTTATCGATTTCCCCATTATTATGCATTTCCCTTAGCATATTCTTTAGTGTTCCGTTGATATTCATGTTTGGATCCTTCCTTATTATTTGATAAGTGTTCCGGTCGCCAATAATACTTTCCATTTTCTCAGTGTACTGTTTCCTGTTCACTACAACCATCGCTCCTTCCTTATCCGCCTAAAGAACTATTTAATCATACTTTTATAATTTTTTCTGTAACGATATGGCAGACTGATTAACATTTCCGGCAAAAGTGTGAAGGTAGGTGAAACCGCTAGCGTGGAGTGTGGAACGCTCTCATGAAGGTCGCTGAAAATAACACCCTACACCACATTCATATAAGCAACGAAAAATTGTGATAGTGAAGGCATCATACGAGTAAAGATGAACAGCCCAGGAAAGAAGGAGAGATACCGCAACTGTTAAGCACACATTTCGTCAGAGAATCGGCTTCACTTATCTCTTTGACGAGTTGAAGTATGATGCTAAGTATGCCGAGACTCACTGACGATGCCGACTACGATGCCGGTGAAGCATCTTGGAATGTATCACGTCTAAGTTCCGACTTTGGATATTATCATGCATACACCGGTCTTTGAACTAGGTGCATACCTCTATTTCTTCCTACCCATACGACCAAATTGCGAAAACGAGGTCAAACAACTTCTACATTGAGAAAGATGACTGCAACCACACAAAAGGAACACCATCCAGATCTTCATATCTTAAAAAATTTAATACTTTAACCGAACAATCAAAGTACATATAAATAATATCATTTTTTTATTATATTGTTACATTAGCTTAAGGCGTTAATATATTAAAGTAAATTGCGATAGAATAAACTGAAATGTTTCCGTACTCCGCTTTCAGTTTCAAATGAGATATAAAATGTTTCTACAAACCACAATTTTAGGCTAATAAATCTCCAAACTTAGTATTTTCTGAAGATAGGCTTTTATATGTGGATCGACATTTTACCTAGCCTAAACGTCCATATAATATTTCATTTAGGGAGCAGACATTAAAATCTCCTTATATATATATGATATGTATTCACCCAATTTCATTTAAGGTGATGAAGGACCGGTAGTTCAATTTTCCAACAATGATATGTGTAGAGCTTACATTTCAATTGTATTTTACATAGCCTTGCTGTCCCAAAAGTTATTCTCACCCAGAGTGTACTACTGTTTCTTGCTTGCATTATCAATACCCTTAGCCGGTGTCGAATCGTAACAATGCAGAATGTGAGCTGGACCCATCAACCACTCGGCCACATTGCTACGAGTTCCTTTGGGTCATAGGGCCGATGTGAACTTCAAGGGAAGCTATGCCTTTTCACATATCACATTCTTTTGGGGGATTGTAGATGAAGCAAACGTATTTTTGCTATAAAAATAGACTAAATTATTTATTTTTCGTACATAAGCAGAGTTTCAAGACTACCAGTAAGTCACTCAGCCCTGCTTATATCTTTATGGAAAAATTCTACTACCAGACCTTCAACACCTCAAACGAAATAGGGTGAATACATAACTTATAACTTAGTTACTGGTAGTCTCGAAATTCAAATCCTTACATATAGCTGTTATTTCTCACCTTCCCAGTAAATCACTCATTATACTTGAGAACTAAGAGAATTACAACATCAAAATCCACATGAAAGTTTTCAGAATTCTGTCCTTCCTTTTTTTCTTAGTCTCTAACTCTCCAATATTTTATTTTTTAAATGCTAATTATTCATCAGACCTTCTTGTTCTCAGCCCAAAAAAGATCTACTTAGGGCATCCTTATTTATATATATGTATGTGAAATAAGTTGACTTTATGTAACCTTTTCATAAAGGCCTTAAACTTTTCTTAAATGATCCTTGAAAGGCTTATTTGTAAGCACAAGGAACGTATCGTAATTTGCGTAATTTTCCTAATTATTGATTCCCTTTTATGATGCAAGTTAAAAACTCGTCATCAAATAAGGCATATATTCCTTAATAATCGAAAATTATCTATTCATATGTATTAGAATTAAAATAGATTGCCATTAAATTCACTTTGGTATAAATTATATACCCATAGGATAGGTGAGATTAAATTATTAATGCTTGATAATTTGGTGTTCTTCATGACTACTATCAAAAATCCCAGATAATTATATTTAATTAAAGGCAAATACTTCTTAGTCAACCGCAATTGAAGGCAAAATGAAAACAAAAACATAAGAAAACACGGAAACTCTCAAGGAATCAATCAAAATCCTAAAGACAGATTAATAAAAAAATAAGCCCTACATAAAACCATTTTATTTAAAAAATATTCTACTACAATTTTTAATTTAATTTAAGTATTGTACAGAACAAGTAAAGTCAACCTGTGTCGTTTTTATTGTTTCTGCCTCCCGCGGGAGTTTTGGCTCGCCCTCAGCCTCACCTATGTCTGAGATATGTGAGGGCGAACTTACAACTTTGGAGTCTATCTTTGAAAAAGAGCTGAAAATAATCGATAAGAAATATCCTCAAAAGTTTGAATTAAAGATATCAGGTCAATGCCATCATGATTCCCATCTCAAGGTAATGTGCACACTGCTCTTCGAGTATATTTTGGAATATCCTGACGCGCCTGCAAAATGTACCATCAAGAAATCTTTGAATTTATCTGAATTCCAAAAAGAAATTATTAATGACCTGGCTAGATCCGTTGCGGAGCGTTCCCTGGGATTCATCATGATATTTGACATTGTTTCTGAGGTTCAAGAGAAATTAAATGAATTTGCCGAAATTATGCACCAAAAAGAAGAAAAGAAGAAGGATGAAGAACGGATTGCTAAGGAATTAGAAGAAGAAAAAAAATTCACGGGCACTAAACTGACAATTGAAACCTTTCTTGTCTGGAAGGAGGCGTTTCTCAATGACCCCTCTGTTCACCTTAAGATTAGAGAGTCCAGAAAGTCTGACGATAAACGACTGACCGGTCGAGAACTATTCCTACGTGATAATCGCTTTGATGATTCTGATCTACAGTTTCTTACATCGGAAGGCGGCGAAATCGTCGAAGTGGATGAACGTCTTTTCGTTGACCTTGATGAACTTGATCTAGATGATGATGATGAGCCAGAAGAGATTTCCCAAGATATCTCATGTACCTAAGTACTTTATACCTCAACAAATTACTTGAATATTGCTTTTCTTCGAATTCGACTTTTGCTTTACTCCATTTTCACATTGATTGTTCTACGTTAAGCTATTAAACGGACTCATGTGTATGATGCTAGCCCATTTTCCAAGCGCGTGCCCGTTACTCGGGACTATATATGTATGGATAAATGCAACGAGATTTATCATATCTCTAATTTATTTTTCTGAGTATAGACTATGCTCTTGTAAAATGGATTGGCATCATACATACGACTAAAGCATCACGAATTAATTGTAGGCAATGCTAAATATTCATTGTTCTTCAGTCTATCTCTGTCACAACTGCCGAATTTGATCGTATAACTGGAGATGTGAATTTTGTAGCCTCATTTATTAAGGCTAGTAAACTATTATTTTCTCCGTTATTTCTTTTTTCCATGTTGCGAAATTTCCCTTATCTAGATTGACTTTCTATTTTTGGGTTCATTAAT